CTCGGGTCATGATCTCACAGTTCGTGGGTTCGAGCCCCGCATCCTGCTCTGTACTGACAGCTCAGAGCCCAGAGCCTGCTTCCGATTCTGTGTCTCCCTCTCTCTCTGCCCCTCCCCCACTCACATTCTGTCTCTCTCTCTCCTTCAAAAATAAACATTAAAAAAAATTTTTTTTTAAAAAGATAAAGAGTACTATGTATGTAGTCTTTAAGTTTTAAAATCATAAAAAAATGCAAAATAATTGTAAACTGACAAGCCCTTTCTTGTCAATAATACCATGAATTCCTTCACATTTTGTTCATTCAGTTCTCACAACACCCTTATGGGTGTTATCTCTTAATGTTATCTTTGTTTAATAGACTGTTTGGCAGACTGTCCTTCCCAAAATCACAGAGTAGAAGCAAAGAGATTCGTGATTTGAGACCACAGTGCTCATTACAGGACTGGTTGCCACCAGCCATTGAAGTATGGTATAAAGAGAGTCTAAATTCCAGAGTTGAGTGAAATTAGATTGAAAGCCCTCTTCTCCACTTAGTAACTTTGTGACACTGGACATGTTACTTAGCCTCTCTAGTCCCCAATGTCCTCATCAATAATAGCAGGCATTTACTTTATGGAATTGTGAAATTCTACAATTGTGTGAAATAGACCTTGTAAAGCAGATTTCAGTGCCTACCATATAGTAAGTGTACATTAGGTTTTTTTCAACTTCACCACCATTATTTTTCTTTCTTGTTTTAAATGTGCCTTCACTTTTTGTTGTCTTTTTTTTCCTGTATGGTTTCCTTTTCTCACTGCATCTTTTAAGAGAATATTTTATTAGATAAGTACATTGTATAAATAGGGTAAGTCTGTACATGTATTAGATCATCCATTGGTTTCAGAAACAATGGAAATGGAGAAAGATCTGTACATTGCTTCAAATACATGGAGGAAAATTAAAACACTGTACTGTATATATGCTATATGTTGTGTAGAATTTAGGTTATTGATTACACTATCTTGACTCTTTGTTATATTCAAAAAATGTCCTTTTAGAATCCAGAATGGTTGATCTTTCAACGGATGAAGAGAGTGAAACACATCATTCCCCAGAAAGTAAAGATGATCACAGTTCATCATCCAACAGCTCTAGCTCTCTGGAAGAGGAATTTTCGTCAATAGGTTGGTAAATATTGTGATTTTGGTTAACTTTATTTCTAATAGTATTTTCTATATCAGTGGTTCTTATTATTGGTAACACAACTAACTCTAGTGAAGTATGAGGCAAGTACATCATTACTAATGATTGTCTAAGTGCCAGATTTGACTGCTCTTTTCCATTACATGACACGCCCAAGGTCAGACTGCTTGTAAGAGGCAGAGCCAGGATTCAGACCCAGGCAATCTGCCCCAGAACCTGTGTTCTTAACCAGTGTGCTACACTTGGTGATTAATGCCAATATCTGAAGGGTGGTAAGAATTTGTTAGGATGTTTGGGGTACTGGACATAGCAAATGTAAAACTCTAGGGAAGACAACATAGCATATGCAGAGAACTAAAAATAGTTGTTGGAATGAAAATATTTGGTTGGAGCGTAAGATAGAGGAACAACAAAAAATGCAGAGAGACAAATTGGAGTCAGATAATACAGGATTTGGAGAACTACTGAAAATTTTATGCAAATAAATGGCATGACCATCTTTGTCTTTTAGAAAGGTCAGTCCAGTTCAGGGCTTGGTAAATTACCACTTGTGAACCAAATATGATCCATCACCTGCTTTTGCAAATAAGTGTCTGTGGCTGCTTTTGCTCTACAGCAACAGAGTTTAGAAGCTGTACCAGAGAATTGATGGCTCACAGAGCTGAAAATATTTTTCTGGCTTATTACTCAAGCTTAAGGATTTGTAACTTGTTTTGTGCTGTGGACTCTTGTCAGTCTCATAAAGTCTGGGACCCCTTCTGAGAAAATAAAATTATGTAGTTTTATAAAAGAAATAAATTAAAATTGTTTAAATACATTTTTTTTATTTTACACATTTTTTTTAACATTTATTTATTTTTGAGAGACAGAGACAGAGCATGAGCTGGGGAGGGGCAGAGAGAGAGGGAGACACAGAATGCAAAACAGGCTCCAGGCTCTGAGCCATCAGATCGTGACCTGAGCCGAAGTCGGACGCTCAAACGGACTGAGCCACCCAGGCGCCCCTAAATGCGTTTTTAAACACTTGCAACGTAGTAATAACTGCTTTATCAACATTAAATAACAAACAGTGGCTCTTGTAATTTTTTTTTTCTTATACAAGTTCACAAGGTACAAAAGTGCTTAATGATGAAACCAGTATTAAGAATTGAAACCTAGGAGATAGGTGAGGCCTTGTCTAGATTCTAGATAGAGGGCTGTCCAATAAAACTTTCTTTGATGATGAAAACGGTCTGTATCTTCATTGTCCAGTACATTAGCTGCTAGCCACATAGAGCTGTGGAGCTCTTGAAATGTGGCTGATGCAACTAAGGAACTGGATTTTGAATTTGGATAAATTTAAATGGTCACAGTACTGCTATAGAAGATGGCACATTAGGCCTTTTAAGCCAGTAGTTATAAAGTGTTGGTAGCAATGTCCACCTAAGGACAGAAGACAGTGTTTGCAAATGTGTGGGATAGTTTTTAATCATCATTGTGACTGAGGTATTGTTGGCCTGTAGTGCCCTAGAGACAAGAAATGATAAGTGTCTCTCAGAGTACAGGACAGTACAGCACAGAGAAGAATTTTCCATTCTGAAATGTGCGTTTCCGAAGCACTGAGAGTTGAAAACTTGTTCTGTGAGGGATACATTTTTTTTTCTTCTGGAGAAAATATGAAGGCATGGGAGAAGTTTGGAGATTGGTACATGGACCAAGGAGTGCATTTATTTTTTTGTTCAGACAGTGGAATTATTAGAATGATCCAGTAGTGAAATTCTGCCTTGATATTGTTGCAGATACAGTGTGTTACTCATGGAGCATGATCTCAATCTCTACTCCTTAGATAAGATGATATATGTGAAAATTATTTAACTTATAAATCTGCATGTTGTTATTATACAGCATAATGCTAACTTTGTTAATTCATTCCATGTCTGGGCAGCATCTGCTCTGTGGGAACCTTTGAGCTAGATGTTGGTGCCTAGACAAGAGAGGATAATACTCTTGAAATTTTACTTCTTTATTGTAGCTTGAGAGAGGATTAGCTTTATGTACAACTAGTATCTCACTGCTGAGTCCATTCTTGTGACTTATTAAACCCCGCCAAGTCATTTGCAAACATCATTTCCACTTCAAGTATTTCTGTTTTTGTATTCATACACTTGAGTATTTGAACCTGAGTATATCATCTTAACCCTGATTTTACAATAAGTTTCCCAGAGGGCTGTAAAAATACACTGTTGCTCAGCTCCACCTCAGATCAACTGAATCTGAATCTCTGGGATGGGGAGCTTCGGTGCCAGTAAATTATCAAGATCCCCAGGTGATACTAATGTGTAACCAGCATCAAGAAATGCTATATAGCCTGTTGTGAAGGTTTTGAGTCTTAATTCTGTTTTAGGTTATATTAGCTGTCCCTCCAAGCTTTAAAGACATGTCTTTTTATCTTCATATCACATTAAGATCATTAAAACAGGGGCAGTGCAGACAAGACAAAATACAGAGGCCCTGTAGCTGATGACTACAGTGCTTCATGATCAACTTTTTTTTTTTTTTTTTTTAGTAATTATTCAGCCACTTAAGAATCCAGTGCAATATGTAATTTTCCCCACGTATTTTAACATTATCCACAAGGAAACTATTAAATGCTTTGGGAGGATGGAGAAACATCTGACCTGCATCATTTCCCTGATCTTAATCTATAAATTAGTACTAGTCTATAAAAAGTAAATCACTTGATTTGATATTCCTTGTTCTTAATGAACATACTGATTTTTAGTGATCACCACTTATCATTTCATAATTCAAGTACTTTTTGTTTTCCTTAGGACCGGTGTCAAGCATTTTGGTCAGTAATTTCTGAATTGTCTCTTTTTTTCTGTTTCAAAAGTTGGAACATTTTCACGTCTCCAGGCACATGACCTTTTCTGTTTCTCAAAGAATTTGGATCATGGGTGCCTCGGTGGCTCAGTCAATTAAACATCTGACTTCAGCTCAGGTCATGCATGAACTTGCAGTTCGTGGGTTCAAGCCCTACATCAGGCTCTGTGCTGACAGCTCAAAGCCTGGAGCCTGCTTTGGACTCTGTGTCTCGCTCGCTCTCTGCCCCTTCCCCGCTCATGCTCTGGGTCTCTTTCCCTTTCTCTCAAAAGTAAACATTAAGAAAAAAAAACTTAAAAAAAAAAAAGAATCTGGATCAGTTTGTGGTAAAGTTTAGAACATTTTACTTGAGCCTTGGTGGCTTGAAATCCCTAATTAACATTTTGAAGTGCTTCAAGTAGTGAAAATTTCTTTTCCCATTTTGTTTACCTTAGTATTTTGCTTAAGAAACTGTTCTTTTTCCAGAAAGTTAAGATAAATTTCAGCTTAGATCATGCATGAAGAAACTTGTTTTGAGTTGGAAGAGTCCACATTAATGTGGTTTATACTCTATAAAATAACTAAAACTAGGGGCGCGTGGGTGGCTCAGTTGGTTGAGCATCGGACTTCGGCTCAGGTCATGATCTCACAGTTCGTGAGTTTGAGTCCCACATCTGTGCTGTCAACACAGAGCTTGCTTTGGATCCTCTGTCTCGCTCTCTCTACTCCACCCATGCTCTCATTCTCTCAAAAGTAAACATGAAAACAAAAAACTAATGAACTAAAGCAAGGCTCTATTAAAAGTTGTCACTTAAATATTCTTCAATGAACCTGATTATTTTCTTTACACTTTTTCACTTATTCATGTGGAAATCACCACAGGACCTTAGAGACCGAGTTGGCTGTGTGGTTTTAGTCTCTTTCTCACTCCCTATATGCTTGGATGGTCTGGGGTAGGGCAGGGCATAATACAGCGTCCGTCTTTGTGAGTCTTAACTGGCCTCTCCCCCATCATTCTCACGTCTACAGTTCTCATTGACTCAGCAACTCCATGTTCAGCTCTCCACATCCCTACTCCCCTCACAATCTCAGAGCTTCTGGAAGTGAGAAATACCCCTCAACAAAAAGTCAGCAACAACATCCGATGAATAAGAGAGCTCAAAGATAAAATGAAGTGGTATCAGTATATTTTCTGAAACTTCTAGACTTGGTTAATTTTCTGATTTACATTTAATCTCTATAAAAATAATTTTCTTTCATAATGGATGTAAGTTTTGAGCTGTGTAGTTACATTCTATCAGAATAGTGAAAAAATTAGAAAAATGTGCCTTCTTATTTTATTTAAATACAGGGAATATGTATTTCTGTTGGTGCTTGGTTTTCAGTGTCTCCTTCTTTGTTTCTTTCAGTAAATATCCCTGATGCAGCTTTTATTCAGGCAGCCCGCAGGAAACGTGAATTGGCCAGGACCCAAGATGACTATATTTCTTTGGATGTAAAACATACCTCTGTCATCACTGGGATGAAGAAAAGCAGTGATGAAGATCCTGAGAGTGAGCCTGATGACCATGAAAAGAGAATACCGTTTACCCCAAAGCCTCAAACACTTAGACAAAGGATGGCTGATGAAACAAGTACATACTTAACTTATTTACAATATGTGAACATTAAGGGATTTTTTGCTGGAATATACTATCATGATCAAATCTCCATAAAAACTTAATGTAATGTCTCATATTTTATTTATTTATTTTTTTTTTAAATTTTTTTTTTTTTTTTTCAACGTTTATTTATTTTTGGGACAGAGAGAGACAGAGCATGAACGGGGGAGGGGCAGAGAGAGAGGGAGACACAGAATCGGAAACAGACTCCAGGCTCTGAGCCATCAGCCCAGAGCCCGACGCGGGGCTCGAACTCACGGACCGCGAGATCGTGACCTGGCTGAAGTCGGACGCTTAACCGACTGCGCCACCCAGGCGCCCCTAATGTCTCATATTTTAAAAGGTGTTAGAAGTTGGTTTTTATTTAATACCAATTTGGTCAATGACATCCTAGTCTGTAAAAGATAAATCTATTAAAATACTATTACCAAACATAACGTGTAATAATATTTAATATTGTCTGACCTCCACTTGATCTTTTTTGACAGATTAAAAAATTGTGCAGTCTTATTTTTGACATTGAAAACTTTCATTATAACCTTTGTAAAGATTTTTTTTTTTTTAACATGGAAGCATATACAGAGATTTTAGGCTTCATTTATTAAAATCTCCCCTGCTCTAATAAAAAATTTCCTAACCCAATAGTCTTTGGGTCTCAAAGGACTATTCTCACATTTCTCATTTATAAACAATAATATGTTTTACCAAAATTTTTGTCACTTCAAATAATATTTTTTCGGAATGAGACTTTTGGTTCTTTATAACCCAGAAATTATTTTTCAATATTTAGATTCTCAGGTAGAATTTATAATCTCTGGGAGCACCTGGGTGGCTCAGTAGGTTAAGCATCTGATTCTTGATTTCCGCTCAGGTCATGATCTCATGGTTCATGAGATCGAGCGCAGAGCCTGCTTGGGATTCTCTGCTTCTCTTTCTGCCCCTCCCCTGCTCGTCTGTGGGCTCTTGCTGTTTCTCAAGATAAATAAGCATTTTAAAAAAAAGAATTTATAATCTCTGTTAAGGAATACCAAATGTTTCATTTTTTTTCAAGTTTTTTTCTCCATATGTGAAACTATGGAAGTGTTTTTAGTGGGACAGTTTGGTGATGAGTACAGATTCCCAGATTCAGGTCTCCTCTTCAGCACATTTCTCAGACAAGTTATTATTAAATTCCTGATAGGAGTGTCCTCATTATAAAATAAGGATGATAATAGTGCTTTCTTCCCTGAATTGTGAAGGATAAGTTAACATATGTAAAGCTGCTAAGCCAGCAGCACATTATAAGCCCCCCAAAAATGTTAGCTGATGCTATTAGAAGGGATAAATACCATTCATGATTTTTTTTTTCCCCCTAGCACCTAGAAATGAAGAAACAAGTGAAGAAAGTCAGGAAGATGAAACTCAAGATATTTGGGAACGGCAGCAGATGAGGAAAGCAGTTAAAATCACAAAGGTAATAATTTTTTTATACCATGTGTATTTTCTGTGGCTGCTATAACAAATTATCACAAATTTGATGGCTTAAAATAGACATTGATTTTTCTCACAGTTGTGGAGGCTAGAAATCTGAAAGCAAGGTGTTAGTGGGACTGTGCACCCTTTGAATACCTAGGGGCAAGAATCTTCTCTTGTCTTTCAAATTCTGGTCGCTCTAGGTGTTCCTTGCTTTGTGACTGCATAACCCCTTGCTGTCTCCTTCACATGGCCTTCTTCTCTGTGCTTCTATGTGTCTTTTACAAGAACACTTAACATTGGATTTAGGGCCCACTTAGATAATGCAGGATGTTCCCATCTTGAGATACTTTGCTTAATTACAAACACAGAGACTCTTTTTCCAAGTACGTCATATTCACATGTTCTAGGGGTTAGGACATAGACGTATCTTTTGGTCACTGTTCAACTCACTACAACTTACATACCATGTTCTTTTCCCACTAGATTATAAACACCTTCCACATATTATTAGGCCACTTAAGGGGACCATGTTTTTTTTATCTTTAGTTTTATGGTGACTGCAACGTACGGTAGGTGTGTAAATGTAAAGTTTAAACAAATATGTTTAGAGCAAAACTAATAAAAAAAAATAATTGTTCTTGAGCTCAAAAGTCCTGGATTTGGGTTCTGGCTACACCACTGAAATATATGCTCCGTGAGGTCGACAATTATGAACTATTCAGTGTTTTATCCTTCTGTGCCTAATGTTGTGAGTGGTCAATAAATATTTGTGAAACTTTGAGCAAATTATTTAATTTTCTTTTCTTTTCTTTTCTTTTCTTTTCTTTGTGTGTGTGTGTGTGTGTGTGTGTGTGTGTGTGTGTGTGTGTGTGTGTTTATTTTTGAGAAAGAGACAGAGTGTGAGCGGGGAAGAGCAGAGAGAAAGGGAGACACAGAATCTGAAGCAGGCTCCAGGCTCTGAGCTATAAGCACAGAGCTCGATGCAGGGCTTGAACCCAGGAGCCATGAGATCATGACCTGAGCCGAAGTCAGATGCCTAATGGACTGAGCTACCGAGGCTCCCCAAAGTTTCTAAATCTGTTTTTTCATCAATAAAATGGGAAGATAATGTTACCTACATGAGTAGGTGGCTATAAGTCTCAAAATCATAATGATTTAAAATAAAGTGCTGATACATTACATAAAGTTATTATTTTTTAATCTGTTTAACAGTAATGCTTTGAGGGGCACCCGAGTGGCTCAGTTGGTTAAGTGTCCGACTTTTGATTTCAGCCCCAGTCATGGTCTCATAGTCATGAGATCTCATGTTGGGTTTCACACTGGACATGGAGCCTGCTTAAGAATTTCTCCCTCTGCCCCTCCCCTGCTTGCACACACACAAGAAACAAAGCAAAAAACAGTGCTTTGAAAGATTATTTGCTCTTCTAAATAAAGTATTGTTAAGATCTCCGTGTTATTAAAACTAAGAAGCTAAGTAAAGGTAAGTCTTTGGTTGTAACAATATTTAGAAATCTCTGACCAGAGAAATGATTTAGAGGGCTATTTTTATAACTATAATAGATTTAGGTTCCCCCGCCCCTTTTTAGTAAAATCAGTGTAGCAACAGCATGAAAAAAAAATACTTGGAGAAAAAAACATGTCACAGTCCTTACTCTGCTCAGGTTTGCATAATTCCTTTTTAAGTATTTGTTTAATTATAGGCATAGTGTATATCAGAAATTCCCAGACTTCCCATTCATGGAACCCACAGTGTCTTTAACTTTATTCTGATGCCCTTAGGCCAAAAGAAGTACTAAAGCAATTCCATTTATTGAGTACTTAGGGCAATAGAATTTAATACTATTTATGTCCTAATAACTCAGTAGTCTTTGGAAAAAATAACACTGATAAATTGAAGAAAAAAAATCTTTTAATTTCATTTTTAAATAACCACATTTACTAATGAAATGTGTGCACCTCTTGGGCACTGCATGACACCTCAAGATTAGACACTGCCATTCTCCTTTCTAAATTGATTTTCAGTAGGTACTTGCTTTTTATTACATCCACCAAAAACCCACCTTCACTAATAAAACTTCATCAAAGGACTGTAGCACAATCTAATGTTGGAGCTATGAACTAGTTAAAACTAGTAGTTCAATAAATGATGAATATGTATTCCCTGAAAATATTTAAAACGTTCATATTTAAAATGTATATTTAAGGGCACCTGGGTAGCTCAGTTGGTTAAGCGTCCGACTTCAGCTCAGGTCATGATCTCACAGTTCGTGGGTTCAAGCCCCGTGTCAGGCTCTGTGCTGACAGCTCAGAGCCTGGAGCCTGCTTTGGATTCTGTGTCTCCTCTCTCTGTTCCTCCCCTGCTCATGCTCTGTCTCTCTCTCCCTCTCTTTCTCAAAAATAAAGATTAAAACAATTTTTTTTCAAATAAATAAAATGTATATTTAAAATATTTCATAGCATCCCTTTGAGTTCACGTGGATGCCTTGGCATGTAGTTTGGGAACCACAATAGCATACAATTTCAAATTCTGGTTTGTTTGCTTGACATGTTATAAATGTTTTCCCCTGTTTCTATTACATAGTTATAACTAATTTTAAAATTGCATAATATGGGGGGCATCCAGGTGGCTCATTTGGTCGAGGGTCTAACTTTTGATTTCGGCTCAGGTCGTGATCCCGGGGTCATGGCATTGAGCCCCACGTCAGGCTCCTCACTGAGCATGGAACCTGCTTAAGATTCCCTCTGTCTCTCCCTCTGCCCTTCTCCCCACTTGTGCACTCTCTCTAAAATAAATAATAACCAAAAAGCAAGCTTTTGTGAAAAGTAAGATTTTGTAATTTGCCTCTTGCATGCATATTTAAAGTTCCATATTTTAAAACTGTGAGAATTATAAAAACGTTTTATTGTAACTATGAAAAATGTCAAAGGCATGGAATTTTGAGCTGGTGAGACATTGGATACCCAGTCTTCTCTCATGCTGTTGATATTTGTAAGATTAACGAGTTTTTTAAAACAATACAAATTTTCATATTTTTAGGGACGAGACCTAGATCTTTCCTACAACAGTGAATCTCAGACAGTGAAGAAGTTTGATACTTCCACTTCATTTCCACCAGTAAATTTAGAAATTATAAAGAAGCAATTAAATACTAGGTAAGTAGTATTGATTTTAAAATAATTTGTCCCAGACATTTAATAGTGAAAAAAGCACTATGTTCTTTTTAATTATTAAGTACAAACACTAATATTAAACATATTTGTAGGAAAAAATAGCATCACCTGTGTTACCCCACTAGTACAATTGATTTCCTTTCTATATAGGTCATTTTAATCTTTATAATAGGTACCACATGGTTAAAATTCATAAGTATTAAATTCTTATTTTAATATTTTTGTAAGCTTGTATCTGCATTGTTAAATAACCTTTAATTTTTAAAAATAATAAGTTGGGAGTGATGGCAAGATGCCATAGTAGGAAACTCCATACCTCATTTCTTCCTAGAATACCAACTTAGCAATATACAGTCCAAAAAGCCTTTATGAGAACTCCAGAAACCAGTTAGAAAGTTGCACTACCCCAAACAAGCTCAAAGCCAAGAGCCACATGGTAATGGGTAAGAAAAGCCATTTCATTTCAGTGGCATCAGCCACTCTTGCAAGCCCACACTGCTTGTGAGAGAACAAAAAAGCCCAGCTCACAGCCTCTCCATTGAGAGGGAAAAAAGAAGAGTGAAACATACATCTAATGTTTGGGCTTTTGGAGGAACTGCCTAAGGGACTGTTTCCTGCCTTGGCTATGTCAGCATCCTGAATGTCATACCTTGGATATCTGGGGGCCACAGAGAACAAAAGAGAGCTCAGTTGCTGCACACCCAGAAAGCCTAGAGGACTTCAGACAAACACCAAAGGGAGCAAGAGACTACAAACACCTAAAAAACCCACAAATTCATATAGGGAAGTTTCATATAGAAACCCAGAGGAGATGTATTCCTTGTAAAAAATTTGAGAAGACCTCTCCCTGCCCTCCAAATCTCTAGCCAGGCTGATTGGTGATGTTCTTCCACTATATGAAGCTATTTCCCTTAAGTGCATTTTCAAATGTACAAGACAACAACAAAAAATAACAAGAGACGGAGAAATCGGGAAACCTGGCACAACCAAAGGAGCAAAATAAATCTCTAGAACCAATTCTAAAGAAACAGAGATCTATGAATTACTTGACAAACAATTCAGAATAATCTACTTCTAGAAGCTGAATGTGCTATAAGAGAACACACACAACAATATCAGGGAAACAATACATGAACAAGGTGAGAATATCAACAAAACAAAACTATTAAAAAAAAAAATTCTGTAGGCAAACAATACAGTAAGCGAATTGAAAAATTCACTAGAGGGGGTCAACAACCTACTTGATCCAGCAGAAGAAAGAAGCAGTAACATCAAAGGCCATTGGTTTGAAATTACAAGTCAGAGGAACAGAAAGAAAAAAGAATGAAGAAGAGTGAAGAAAACATAAGGTACTTACAGGACACATCAAGCAGAACAATGTACACATTATGGAAGTCCACATAGGAGAAGAGAGTGGAGCAGGAACTTGTCTGAAGATCTAATGGCCAAAAACTTACCAATCTGAGAAAGGAAGTAGACATCCAGGTTCAAGCTCAAAAGATTAGAAGGATAAACCAGAGAAGCTCACACTGAGACAATCAAATTTTCAAAGGCAGAAAAAAATTTGAAAGCAGCAAGACAAAAGCACCTTTTCACGTAATAGGGATCCCCCTAAGATTATCAGTAGATTTCTCAACAGAAGCTTTATAAGCTGGAAGGACTGGGATGATGTGTACAAAGTGCTGAAAGAAACTCCCAGCCGAGATAATTATAACCAGTAAAAATGTCCTTCAACAATGAAGGAAAAATAAAGACCTCAGATAAGTAAAAACCAAGGGAGTCCATCACCATTAGAATTGCCTTACAAAAAATTGTTATTACAAGTCCTTCAAGGACCGCCTGGGTGGCTCATTCAGTTAAACACTGACTTCAGCTCAGGTCATGAACTTGCAGTTCATGGGTTCAAGCCCCACGTCAGGCTCTGTGCTGACAACTCAGAGCCTGGACCCTGCTTCGGATTCTGTATCTCCCTCTCTCTTTGCCCCTCCCCTGCTTGCTCGCTCTCTCATTCTCTCTCATTCTCTCTCTTTCTCAAAAATAAATAAACATTGGCACAAAAACAGACACTCAGATCAACAGAACAGAGAACCCAGAAATAGACCCACAAGTATATGGCCAACTAATCTTTGACAAAGCAGGAAAGAATATCCAATGGAATAAAGACAGTCTCTTCAGCAAATGGTGCTGGGAAAACTGGACAGCGACATGCAGAAAAAAGAACCTGGGCCACTTTCTTACACCACACACAAAAAATAAACTCAAAATGGATGAAAGACCTCAACGTAAGACAGAAAGCCCAAAATCCTTGAGGAGAAAGCAGGCAAAAACCTCTTTGACCTTGGCCACAGCAACTTCTTACACAACACGTCTCCAGAGGTAAGGGAAACAAAAGCAAAAATGAACTGTTGGGACCTCATCAAAATAAAAAGCTTCTGCACTGTGAAGGAAACACTCAGCAGAACTAAAAGGCAACTGATGGAGTGGGAGAAGATATTTGTAAACGACATATCAGATAAAGGGTTAGTATCCAAAATCTATAAAGAACTCAAACTCGACACCAAAAACAAATAATCCGGTGAAGAAATGGGCAAAAGACATGAATAGACACTTCTCCAAAGAAGACATCCAGGTGGCCAACCAACACATGAAAAAATGCTCAACA